TACTTGAGCTGGTCCGTGGTCGATCTCAATGGGTATAGGACACTGCGGCGGAAGTCACTGCGGCGGTGTACAGTCCGGCGGAGGACGGTACAGCGGAGGACGGTACGGCGGTACTTTCCAAAAAGGTTGGACGGTACGGCGGATCACATGACACCCACTTTACTTTGGACAGTAAGGCGGCACTAAAAACTGTACCTATAAGACAGACCTAGCACTGCTAATATAACAAAATCGACTAGCTTTAAAAAGATATATTTTCATCTTCGTTACTTCGAAATTAATTTTAATTAAAATTAAATTGGATAAAGTTTGATATATACATTGTGATTGCTAAGAACAGTTCTTGTTCCACTTTCTGGTTCGTATCAGATCGCGTCTGGTCTGCACAACTGTGGTTAAGCGAGTGCATGATGAGCTTGTTACGGTGAGATCTCATATCACTGCGCCGAGATGCAATGGGTAATAACAAGGGCATGAGAACACGTCACGAGGGATCGCATCCAGGAATCTGATCAACCGTAGCCAAGAAGAGAGGTTGCTCAGTGAAACGTAGATAATGATAGAGGCAAACAGTATATAAAGCGGATCAAAGTTGAGGAGAGTATCTCATTAGCACTACCATCTCCAGTACTGCAACACTACAACAGCAACAACGATGTTCGATGAAGATATTAGATACGGCGAAGGTGGTCAGAGGGAGAACTGCTAACAGTTCCAAAGATAGAAAGCCGACTCTGGATGGACGACAGGCTTGGAGGTGCGTGAAGAAGAACGACAGATGCAAGGGACGACTCTACACCCTCAACGGATCCCTGGTGTCAGTCACCCAGCCTCACAACCACAGTGCCGACATAGCTGACTGCGAAGTCCGAGAAACCCTCTCCCAAGTCCACGATCTGGCTGCGACTACGATTACTCAGAACCCCAGAATCTACTGCTCCGTTACTGGCTGGCTGTCCCAGACTGCTCGCTTCCTCCTCCCCAGTGAACAAGCGGTGAAGAAGCAAGCTCAGAGAGCCCGCCGGAACGAGAACCCTGTCCCTACAGCTCCGACGAACCTGGCAGACCTTGAACTGGAGGAGGACGACTGCATGTCTCTGGCTGGCGAACCTATGCTCCAGTTTGATAACAAAGACGACGAGCGACGAGTTATCATCTTTGGGACGGAGAAGAACCTGCGAGCCCTGGAGGACAGCAGCTCTTGGTACGTGGACGCGACCTTCTCCTCTTCTCCTCAGCTCTTTTACCAACTCCTCACCATTCACGCTGAGATGGTCAACTTCAACGAGGACGCTACCTGGGTCTTCCCTTGCATCTACATCCTCCTCACCCACAAGGATACCCCCATCTACAAGGAAGCCTTCGAAGCCCTCGACAGTCTTGGCAACTTCTCTCCAGACAAAATCATGGAGAGAACCCACCGAAGAGGAAGAAAGCTCACAGCGACAAGGACAGGAGGATTCACCGCATCGTGCAGAACTACCACTCTTACGTAGATGATGTCTTGACTTACCTGGATCCGCTCAGAAGTGTTATGTGAATTATTGATTGCTGTAACTTCTTGATAATGATTTGTGGGATTTAGATATTATTGCTAATGCTATTGAGTGTGTCAAGTTATATTAACTTTTTGATTTTCAACAACTCAATATTATCGATTTACATTGTCTGCAAAGCCCTGAATAAAAAAATGAACAACTAAACTAACAAGAATTATACAAAATGATAAAGAGAAAAGAAAAAATAAAACTTATGCGAATCTAGAACAAAACTTAGAAACAAGTTGAATGTGTAAGTTCTGTCTTAGGTACAGTTTCTAGTAGTAGTACCGCCGTACTGTCCAAAGTAAAGTGGGTGTCATGTGATCCGCCGTAACGTCCAACCTTTTTGGAAACTACCGCCGTACCGTCCTCCGCTGTACCGTCCTCTGCTGTACCGTCCACCGCCGCAGTGACTTCCGCCGCAGTGACCGGTTCCCATCTCAATATGACAAGAGGGAGATTAAAGTGGTTAAGATATTCAAGTATGAGAACTTGCAATGAAAGAATTTTCGCAGCTGCATGCACTCACTAGAGTATTCTGTACGCAATCAGGTAACGAATAATACGCAATATTTAAAGCTTAAATCAAGAATTGCGATATTCTGGGAATAAAGCCAGGTGTCTACAATGAAAAGTGAACTTATCCATGTCCTATATTACGAGAAATTTCTGAAATTATTTGCACCTGGCTCTCCGCCTTTACTCCGTAAAGAAGTTAGAGTCAGCTCTTTTTCATTTGAAGAAGAATAAGCCAATTATCTTTTGTTTTAAGTCATATTAAGCAGATGGTCATTTTTATATTGCAGGTCTTCGTTCTTATGAGCTGATACGAATGAAACTGTTTAAAAGTGATCAGAGAATCATATTTGAAGGGGTGTCTTAAAAGTCTCAACCATTCTTAATTAACATATCTCAACATATCTAACATATCTCAACTGCTACAGAAGAGGACACACTCACAGCTTAGGAGCCACTCTCATCTTATTAAACTGTTCCACTGTAACTGTCTGATACCGAGATTAGTAACACTCCTAAGAGGGCTAGATACCGAGATTAGTAACACTCCTAAGAGGGCTAGATACCGAGATTAGTAACACTCCTAAGAGGGCTAGATACCGAGATTAGTAACACTCCTAAGAGGGCTAGATACCGAGATTAGTAACACTCCTAAGAGGGCTAGATACCGAGATTAGTAACACTCCTAAGAGGGCTAGATACCGAGATTAGTAACACTCCTAAGAGGGCTAGATACCGAGATTAGTAACACTCCTAAGAGGGCTAGATACCGAGATTAGTAACACTCCTAAGAGGGCTAGAAGAGATTAGTAACACTCCTAAGAGGGCTAGAAATGTACAAGTTTGTCTGATACCGAGATTAGTAACACTCCTAAGAGGGCTAGAAATGTACAAGTTTGTCTGATACCGAGATTAGTAACACTCCTAAGAGGGCTAGAAATGTACGTGTTTGATGATGTGAAAGCTGGAGTAGACAGCTTTGATGGCATTTTATTGTTTATTAAAGGACGCGTGGAGAGGAAGAGATAAATGAATTTATTTAGGATAAAACGTAAGGAGCATGAGCATAGAGAACTGCTAGGCATCACTCGAGATTCAGCTAGTATTACCCACCTCTATCTTCCGGAAGGGAGGGAAATTTTAGCATAACAATGTCTAATCTAACAATGCTAATTTAACAATGCCTGATTTAGTAATTTGCCCTAATCCCAGGTTGAATATATTATACAGAAAACCGATTAAAGACAAGAGATAGGATGGCACATGCACAGTTTATCACAAAGCAAATATTGTCTATCTAAGTATCCCTTGGTCTAGTTTATAATTACCACGGAGGATGGAAGACTTAAAGGTGATGTCGGTAAAACAATGAGGCCCAAAGTCAACCTGGTCTCCAGCCAAATGACTCCAAATGACTCAGGCTACCCCTGGAGGGTATGGTACTAGATACATGACCTGGAGTATGGTAATGGGAGAGTATGGTACTAGACACATGACCTGGAGTATGGTAATCATACCACAGGTTTACTGTTGGATAATATGTGACCGGTGAGCCAACAAATCACAGTTTGTCTAGACAAAGGAGATAAGGACTCCAGGTGCCACCTAGGTTCACAGATTCGTAAAAAGTGTACTGAGGGGCTTTTGTTGATGTCGTCAGTCGTGGTCTTTTCCTAGGCAGTATATATATGTCTAGCTCGTTTTAAAAATTGCTATTTGATGTGCTCAATTTCAGTTCGGGGGGAACTTAAATTTGCGTCAAAGTTTCCTCATTGAAAAGGAACTGAAACAGTTAGCTAATAAAATAGATCTTACAGATAAAGAACCGTACTTCAAAGATTTACAAACACGCAACACATACACTATACAGAGCTCAATGAAAGGCTCAATAAGAGTATTAATAAATCCTGAACTTAATTCTTTTAATCTGCAATGTGGGAAGCTCCCATTAACCAGTTTGTCTGCGCAAACTGAGCTCTAATGTACCACTAGAATCCAGACAGTTGTAATTGTGTGTAGTCAATGGTTGTTTGTCCGACTCTAATGGGTAGGAAATCTATGACAATTTACAAAAACCTAAAACAGGGTGTCGAGGATTCTTAGGCCTGGAATGTTTCTTCAGGATAACGAAAGATCTGTGTCACAAAAATATAACAACAGGTCTAGCATGTGTAGAAAAAATCTTTAACTGGTAACCTTGTTGCCTATAAAGAGCAATTCTACCTGCACATTCACATTTTTTAATGAGATCGCGCGCAGTGATAACGACTTATTTGTTCAGGAAATAATAAACTTTGGACACGGTTTAAGTGTCAAAGTTTGCCCCCCCCCCCCCCCCCCCCCCAAGTTTATCTGTAGTGTCGTTAGACCATCTGCATTTAGAATGTCTGTATACTCCAAGCCTTTTGGACGATAGTTCTTAGAACTAAGTTGTATGTTTTTGCAATATTTGAACATGAAAATAACAATACCTCCCAATTCTGACGTTTATTGCTTTAAATTAGTTAATTGATAATTGTTTAGTCACATATTCATACCAATTAGTATACGATTAACTTAATATTCTCATTCATGCAACATTTAGACAATGTGACTTATATCGCTTACCAAACGGGTTACTACCATTACTACCATCGCAATCATAAGAATCATCCAATACTTCAGAATCAGTTTCTAGTCCTAATTTTATGAAAAAAGTAATAATAAGATGGTTGCAAAGTGAAGAATTCCAGAAGGTTAAAGTTGAAATTATATTAATGCATATAATGCAAATGGAGGTTCAAACGTTTTAGAAATATAATTTGATAATTTACAGATGATGGCTGACATAAGATAAGAAAGAAATAAACATTACCGCAACAGCGCAACACACAATACATCACACTGCGATACTGCAGTATTCCACGATAAAGAACCCTAACAAAACACGAACAAATCACTAACCAGAGGTTTTCCTATCTCCCCCATTCTCCAGTGCCTCAGATCGCTGATTCCCGGCGAAGTCCCTCTTGAAGATAACCAATAGGGCCGTGATCCTGTAGTCCAGGCGGACGTTCATTATAAACTCTAAGATCTCTATTATCTTTAACTTGGTGTTCATGACGATTACGTCAGATTCCGATTTTGCGCTGCCGCTTCCTTTCCTGGGATTATATTGTGTGAAATTGTTATTTATTTAAAATTTGCAGGATTCTTAAGAGTCAGATATAAACTTGAGGCCAGCAAGGTTTAAGAAGATCAATAGTAGAGCCTCTACTACAATGAGGCCAGCAGGGAAGGTCAATTCATTGTAATCATCAGAGTAATGTCATCAAAAGTTGTTTTCCACTTATCAGCAGAATATCATAAATTATGATTAATTAAACCTTTATAAAATCATGACTGAATCATAACTATAAACCAATTTCCGATAGCATTATAGTTATTAAGTCTCATACTGATTTTTAAAGTTGATAGACTCTGTAAGACTAAAAAGATCAACATCTTACTACTCTTACAAAGCCAGTCGACATATAAAATCATAATTTTAAACTAAATCGTTTGGTTATTATAAAATGACAGATTGTTCAAATCATATATTCATCGTGGTCAAATCATCCTTATTATGTACTAATTATGTGCTAATTTTGCATTTATTCATGAATCATGTCAGCGAAACACAGATCATCACTGGTTCACATCTCACTGACACCTACAATTACAGCAGGAGTTACTGCCATTGACTCACAACCACGCCAGATTACACATTAAACTGAACGGAGAAAACAGAAAAATGAATAAAATATATGCTTTTGCACGATAAGTAGCAGCGTTAACAGTAAAATTGCTAAGTGATTTTCAGCAAAACAAAACTGCGATCCACGGTTTTATCCTCAGCGATCCAGACATCTTGTCTATTTATCTAGACACAGTTTCACACATTTACGGTTCAAATGTTTAAATCAACATAAAACGCAGATAATGATGTAATGTAATGCTTTAAGATGAATACGGTCAAATGCTTTATCTTCAAATGGGGCTTCGAAGCAGCTGGCTCAGCAGATGGCACGTGTCAAGTTCTCTCTCCCTCTGTGTGAATGGAACACAAGATAAATATAAACAATTAAATGCAGCAACTGAGTAGAGCAGTGAAATGGGGCTGGACACGGTAACGAGCAGCAGGACGGTTAGCTCGGGTATCACTTACGACATGCTCATTCCGCCCGTTATGGCGGTCAGGAGGTTGTCGGAGGATTCTCCAGCCTCCGTACCCTCGGTGGGAGAAGCCGGCGCCGGCGCCCCGTCAGGAGCGGCGGCGGGTGGCGGTGCTGGGGCCCCGCCTTCTGGCGCCCTGTAGTGTGGTGTCCATTACTGACTATTCCGTTATTCCTAAAACTTAACGGTAACCTGCACTTGTAGCCCCAATTTCAAAACATATGTACAACGAGAGTAGAAAAATGTAATGATGCGATAACTCTGAATGAAGCCATATAATACTAAATCAAGTAGCTTAAACTGACGCGTTGATGAAACATAAACGCTAAATTAAGCCTTTATGTCGATAATCGGCTGTAAAATCACGATGGAATCAAAAATCAGAGGAGTGATTGGTACGGATCACAAATCATGACATCATAATATTGAGTCGGCTGAATCAGATAATATCGTAGAGACAAAAAACGCACGGTTGAACAGGAGGGGGTGGAGCGGCACCCTCTCCCCCAAGGACCATGTTCGTTACTGCAGCTCCTAGGTCGCTGATAGCTCGTAACACCTCTGAAACAACTTGGTAGTAGGGTTTAATAATTACAGTATTTCATTTTGTTGGTGATTTGAAATTATTTGATGGCTGGGTTTGTTTAAGGGAAATAGATTTATACTTGTACCAAAGTATACCTTTAGCTGGCCCCTTTACGCAGTCCAATATAGATAACATTGTCTTTGTCAATGCAAGAAGGTCTTTAAATCCGAAGAAACCAAAGTATACCAAGTGTTTTGCTAAGTTGACGACCTGAAATAAAGCTGTGTCAAAAGTAAACCACTACACGATGTATCCAATTCTGCAGCCGATGTCCTATTTTTCTCAAAGTATTTTTAATGAAAACGTTTCAAAAATACGACAGCTTTAGCTAAAGAGTAGCAAATTTACTGGACTTATTCATAAAAGTAATAACAGTTACCTCGTAAGTGAGCTTGTTCTGTTGAGAGTCCCTAAAGACGTAGGTGTTAGACTCTAGAGTTCCCAGGTAGTCTCGGACGAACTTTGTCACGTGAGTAAACTTTTCTGGGGCCTGAAGGAGGGTTTTAAATTATAAAATAAATAATCAACAAACTTCCCTGTAAACCTTCAATTAATGGATACAAAACTCCGAGTATTACCCGAGTTAATTAATTAACTAATTACCCGAGTTAATTAATTAACTAATTACCTGAGCAGCGGGTGGACTGTAATTGTTGATGGTGATCTCATCAGGAATGTAGCTCCAGAGCCGCGCATACTTCACAGACTGGTGGTTCTCCTGGGGCTCCCTGTCCACATGCATATGCAGCATCAGCCGGCAGAAGGACGCTCTCAGATCGTGGGACAAGTCCTCGTCCGCCATACACCTGTATGAGGAGTAACTTCTAGTACTACACTCTGCTACTAGAGTGTACTGTCTCACTATCTCATTTATCAATATCATAACATTTCACGATTACTATTTCATTGATATTTCATTTAACTACTTCCCTAGTTCACCATTTCAGGCCAAATTGAGTAGTCCGTAACCAATAATTACAGTAAACTAAGTCTATCTATCCCACTAAACTTACTTGAGTAGAAGATCAACTGACAGCTGTGACTTGAGACTGTTTATAGCAAGGTACTGTCTCTCTTGACACATCTGACTGAACAAGTCCAACTGACATCTGGGAAAGTTTTGTGTTAAGGATGAAACTGGAATAGTGCAAAAAGGGTAAAATAAGGTACATCAGAATACCTATCATGTATCTGGTATTCTCTAGGGCGGTTGTTAATACTAATATTTTAGGAAAGGTGTCTGAATATGAAATTGGCCCTAAAATCAAACCATCCTGCCATTTTTACGTGCATTCCAATTTCCATAACCATTATTAATTTAAGGTTAAAATAAGGTACATTATTAATATAAGGGTAAAATAAGGTACATTATTAATTTAAGAAGCCACCTGACGTAACTTTAACTATGGGGCTAATTTTCAATTTTTGTCGCCATTTTTGATAAAGAATGATAAATGATAAATATTTGCCATCTTCTAAAGAAATTCTAACAGTCAACAACAAAAACGACAAAAAAAGCAACTAATAAACACTGCTGATAAAGCTACTAATAAGCACTGCTAAAAGCTACTAATAAACACTGCTGATAAAGCTACTTATAAACACTACTTATAAACACTACTTATAAGCACTGCTGATAAAGCTACTTACTGGTAGTAAGCGAGAGTAGCCTGATCTTCCTCGTGGCCCTCTGCTGCGTTTTTACTGAGAGTCTGCAGGTCTTTCTTATCTTGAGAGCCGTACATGTACATGTTTATCTCCCCTCCCTCCATCCTGAAATATTGCTACTGATAAGAACTGTTTATCTCCCTTCCCTCCATCCTGAAATATTGCTACTGATAAGAACTGTTTATCTCCCCTCCCTCCATCCTGAAATAATGCTACTGATAAGAACTGTTTATCTCCCCTCCCACCATCCTGAAATATTGCTACTGATAAGAACTGTTTATCTCCCCTCCCTCCATCCTGAAATATTGCTACTGATAAGAACTGTTTCACTTCCCTCCCTCCATCCTGAAATATTGCTACTGATAAGAACTGTTTATCTCCCCTCCCTCCATCCTGAAATAATGCTACTGATAAGAACTGTTTATCTCCCCTCCCACCATCCTGAAATATTGCTACTGATAAGAACTGTTTATCTCCCCTCCCTCCATCCTGAAATATTGCTACTGATAAGAACTGTTTCACTTCCCTCCCTCCATCCTGAAATATTGCTACTGATAAGAACTGTTTCTCTCCCCTCCCTCCATCCTGAAATAATGCTACTGATAAGAACTGTTTATCTCCCCTCCCTCCATCCTGATATATTGCTACTGATTAGAACTGTTTATCTCCCCTCCCTCCATCCTGAAATATTGCTACTGATAAGAACTGTTTATCTCCCCTCCCTCCATCCTGAAATATTGCTACTGATAAGAACTGTTTCACTTCCCTCCCTCCATCCTGAAATATTGCTACTGATAAGAACTGTTTCTCTCCCCTCCCTCCATCCTGAAATAATGCTACTGATAAGAACTGTTTATCTCCCCTCCCTCCATCCTGATATATTGCTACTGATTAGAACTGTTTATCTCCCCTCCCTCCATCCTGAAATATTGCTACTGATAAGAACTGTTTATCTCCCCTCCCTCCATCCTGAAATATTGCTACTGATAAGAACTGTTTATCTCCCCTCCCTCCATCCTGAAATATTGCTACTGATAAGAACTGTATATCTCCCCTACCCTACATCCTGAAATATTGCTACTGATAAGAACTGTTTATCTCCCCTCCCTCCATCCTTAAATAATGCTACTGATAAGAACTGTTTATCTCCCCTCCCTCCATCCTTAAATAATGCTACTGATAAGAACTGTTTATCTACCCTTCCTCCATCCTGACATATTGCTACAGATAAGAACTGTTTCTCTCCCTCCCTTCATCCTGATATATTGCTGACAAAAAATGTTTCTCTCCCCTCCCTTCGTCCTGAAATATTGCTACTGACAGGAGCATGCGGTACATCTTAGCTTGGTGCAACTGCAAGTTAATCCTGAATCTATGTATATCGGGTTGCTGAATATATTTATTGCCGAATGTAACCTATGTGCTGATTTTTTAATTTTTTCGAATTGTCCTGAAGCTGAGGCCTGACTATTTAATTATTTAAAGATCTTTGTAACGAAGTTTATTGTTAATTTCAATCCTGCACGATTTCAAAAATTGATGATAGCAAATCCAATTGGACCTGACTTGGCTTAACAGCTCACTATACATGAACAAAGATATAATTCATAAATCATAATATTGAATTCCTGGTAATGTGATGAAGCATAAAAATATTACGCATAATATGTAATATTATCACAGACTTCTGATGAATAAAGGCACCCAGATAACTAAATTTAGACATGATCTGACCGAAACCAATGCTAAACCTCTCGCTAGTAACCTTATCAGCTCTTCGACGCGCTTTCGACGCGCTTCACTCAACGCTTGATGATAACGCGTATTGAATACTCGCAGCACATTTCCTTCAACAGTATTTTGCAAGATGTTTAAAGTTATGTTTCTCCCCGTCCTGATCCTAGTCTTCATATTGCCTGTGACAAGTGTTCAAGTGTCCACTGCTCTCAAATTCGGAGATGATGGCTACAGTATAATCTCCTTTCAACCCAACATGTTACCTCTTACTGACAAGTTTACTGTTTGTCTTTGGTTTAAGGCGCTCCGAGGGAGTACGAGTGCAGTGATATATGCCTACGAACAAGGTGAAATGTATTTGTATGACAACAAAGGTGACAACAATCTGTTTGGAGCACATTTTTCCCTCCCCAGTGAGTTCATAACTCCAATGCGAGTATGGACCCACCATTGTGGAACATGGAGTGTTGCTTCAAGGACGTACCGAGCGTACATTAACGGTAAACTAGCTGGTTTCAAGATCACAGCCTCTGGAAGAAGATTGAAAACAGGTGGAACTCTGGTGTTGGGAGATTATAGAGATCCCGCAGTTCATGGCAGAACTGGTAACCAATTTGGAGGAGAGATGTACAATCTCAACTTCTTCTCCAAAGAGTTAACTGGTAGTGAAGTAGGAGCAATGTCAGCAGATGGGCTCTGTACAAAGATCCCTGAGGAGCTGGAGCAATACCGGGCAATCAGATGGGAGGATATGTTGAGCCTTCCTAGACGTGGAAACGTGCAAGATATCGGCAGTGGATGCAGTGAAAGTGCTTATGTGAGCTAATCCCGAGAAGATTTAATGTTTATTGTAGTTTGATAGAATATTCTTACTTCACATAGGTAGGTGTTATACTGTTACCAACTACAAATTCCTGGTGTTTGAAGTTTCATTTCATATATTCACTACTTCAGGATTTTATCGGCGAAAAAGAAACTCTTCGGTTGAGTCTGAACAACACACAAGCAGAACTGCAAAAGTTACAGAGACTGTTCAATTCTACCCAGGAGGAGTTACGGACGGTGAAGAGAAATCTTCTATCTACGACAGAGGAACTCAACAGCACTAGGATTGAACTTGAAGAGACATCCTTTGAATTGAATGAAACGAGGACCAAGCTAGATAATTCAACTCTAAAAGAAGCAGGATGTACTGTAAGTGAAACGGGACATTGTACAACCCTTTACAACTAATGTTCTTGCGTCACATAGGTAGATGTTATACCGTTACCAACTATAAATTCCTGGTGTTTGAAGTTTCATATATTCACTACTTCAGGATTTTATCGGTGAAAAAGAAAGCCAGGAGGAGTCACGGACAAGATGTGCGCTGCAAAGAGGATCTCTGACGAAATGGGACTTTTATACTCCTGTCATTACTACAACGAGATTTTCAATTTCGAGCAATATATAAAGCTACTGACATGGGTGTCCTCAACTCGTAAGAATCAGTTTGTTTTATATCACGATATTCCAACACGTGTTTCCATCCGATTCAATATGCTACACAAATTTAATTTCACTTTCCTCGTGAAATAAGCTACCTGGAGGGGCTCGTGTTTTTGTATTTCATTTTTGATCTACCTAACTTGTCCAACCTCAAAAATTAGGGTACTGCTCGAACGCTAAATCAGGTATGACATTTCCCTCTTTCAGGCAGAATAATGGGAGTGAAGATTACTGACAATCTCATCGAATTCTTCAAAGATATAGACGAGGAAAACAGCTGTGATGAAGTTTGACCTCGCTCCCGGAATAGATTGTGATACGTCACACTTTGTATTAAATATAAAGTAAACATGATCTAACTAAACCAAAAGCCTTAAGCTTGTTAATTCAACAATCTCTCCCCACATTTATTCTGATAAGTATACCTGCAGTACAGCATGGTTTATAAGTTAAAACTGTGTATTTCACTGTCGGATCCACTGTCTGGGTATGTAATTAAGAATAGCTCATGTCGCTGATGCGAGTACAAGTTTTAAGAGTAAATTTAATGAATTTAATAACATTTTGTTGACATGTAAATTCTCATGTTTTTAACTGCTTTTACTTGCAACGTCCTTATCGTCTTCATCAGACAATACTCATCTCAAATCTGTCGGTAACAAAAACTCCCTCCATCCTGAAATATTGCTACTGACAGGAGCATGCAGTACATCTTAGCTTGGTGCAAGTTAATCCTGAATCTATGTATATCGGGTTGCTGAATATATTTATTGCCGAATGTAACCTATGTGCTGATTGTTCAATTTGTTCGAATTGTCCTGATGCCTGACTATTTAATTATTTAAAGATCGTTTGTAACGAAGTTTATTGTTAATTTCAATTTTCAATCCTGCACGATTTCAAAATTGCTGATAGCAAATCCAATTGGACCTGACTTGGCTTAACAGCTCATTATACATGAATAAAGATAGAATTCATAAATCATAATATTGAATTCCTGGTAATGTGATGAAGCATACAAATATTACGCATAATATGTAATATTATCCCAGACTCCTGATGAATGAAGCCACCCAGATAACTAAATTTAGACATGATCTGACCGAAACCAATGCTAAACCTCTCGCTAGTAATCTTATCAGCTCTTCTACAAAATAAAAATGGGCACAAATTAATTTCTTTCAACGCACTTCACTCAACGCTTGATGATAACGGGTATTGAATACTCGCAGCCGGCAGCACATTTCCTTTAAGGGGGCAGGCTAGGGGGTTCTTTATAAAATTCCTCTCGAAATTGATTTCAATAGTTGTTTCTGATAGAGGGGAGTAATATCTATCAGCTGCTTTTGGTCCCATGGAAAAATATTGTTCCTAGCCGAAGTTATCGCCGGTCAAAGGTCAGCGCTCATGCGTATTGCGTAATTGTATTGTGCGAGCGATTTTCGATCGTGTGCCCGACAATCGAGTCTAACAATCTATCTTCTCCTACATGTTTTAAGCAATCACCTTGAAACTTTCAGGATATGTTCTAAGGACCATTTAGGAGATTCTTTTCTAATAGAATTTTAAGATAAGCCTTAGAAAATGTTTTATTCGATTTTTAAAATCTTGGGCCTCGTTTTTTGACGATTTTCCAGGATGATTCTTATGTTTCTCCCTGCCCTGGCCCCTGATCCTAGTCTTCATATCGCCTGTGACAAGTGTTCAAGTGTCCACTGCTCTCAAATTCGGAGATGATGGAAACAGTCTAATCTCCTTACAACCCAACATGTCACCTCTTACTGACAAGTTTACTGTTTGTCTTTGGTTTAAGAAGCTCCGATCTGCAGGGAGTCCAATGCCATATGCCTACGAACAAGAAGAAATGTTTTTGTTTGACTACAGCCTTGACAACCACTATTGTGGAACATGGAGTCTTGCTTCAAGGACGTACCGAACGTACATTAACGGTAAACTAGCTGGTTTCAAGATCACAGACTCTGGAAGAAGATTGAAAACAGGTGGAACTCTGGTGTTGGGAGATTATAGAGATACCGCAGTTCATGGAAAATCTGGTCACCACTTTGGAGGAGAAATGTATAATCCCAACGTCTTCTCCAAAGAGTTAACTGGTAGTGAAGAAGGAGCAATGTCCGCAGATGGGCTCTGTACAAAGATCCCTGAGGAGCTGGAGCAATACAGGGTAATCAGATGGGAGGATCTGTTGAGACTTCCTAGACGTGGAAACGTTCAAGATATCGACAGTGGATGCAGTGTAAGTGCTTATGTGAGCTTATCCCGAGTAGATTTAATGTTTATTGTAGTTTGATAGAATATTCTCACGTCACATAGGTAGGTAGCTGGTAGGTGTTATACCGTTACCAACTATAAATTCCTGGTGTTTGAAGTTTCATTTCGTTTATTCACTACTTCAGGATTTTATCGGTGAAAAAGAACCTCGTTGAGTCTGAACAACACACAAGCAGAACTGCAAAAGTTACAGAGACTGTTCAATTCTAGCCAGGAGGAGTTACGGACTGTGAAGAGAAATCTTCTATCTACGACAGAGGAACTCAACAGCACTAGGATTGAACTTGAAGAGACATCCTTTGAATTGAATGAAACGAGGACCAAGCTAGATAATTCAACTCTAAAAGAAGCAGGATGTACTGTAAGTGAAACGGAACATTGTACAACCCTTTACAACTAATGTTCTTGCGTCACATAGGTAGATGTTATACCGTTACCAACTATAAATTCCTGGTGTTTGAAGTTTCATATATATTCACTACTTCAGGATTTTATCGGTGAAAAAGAAAGCCAGGAGGAGTCACGGACAAGATGTGCGCTGCAAAGAGGATCTCTGACGAAATGGGACTTTCTATACTCCTGTCATTACTACAACGAGATTTTCAATTTCGAGCAATATATAAAGCTACTGACATGGGTGTCCTCAACTCGTAAGAATCAGTTTGTTTTATATCACGATATTCCAACAACTAAACGACATTCCAACACGTGTTTCCATCCGATTCAATATGCTACACAAATTTAATTTCACTTTCCTCGTGAAATAAGCTACCTGGACGGGCTCATGTTTTTGTATTTCATTTTTGATCTACTTAACTTGTCCAACCTCAAAAATTAGGGTACTGTTCGAACGCTAAATCAAATCAAATCAAAACACGCTAGGTATGACATTTCCCTCTTTCAGGCAGAATAATGGGAGTGAAGATTACTGACAATCTCATCGAATTCTTCAAAGATCTGGATGAGGAAAACAGCTGTGATGACGTTTGACCTCGCTCCCGGAATAGATTGTGTTATATCGCACTTTGTATCTCTACTATAATTCAGAGAATTATTTCTGTCTGTAGAATGTACGACCGCCCACGTGCAAATTAGATGAAAAATAGGAATTTAGGTAACAACCAAAAGGTTCCATAGCAACGGTGTTTTAATGCACACATGCACGTGCAAAGATTGTTTTAACGTTATTTTGATCGGTTTTGTGGTAATTACGTTGTGTTTAAAGTGTTTTATATTCAAATCGGCTGTATCTTCGGTTGAGATGGATATTTTTTGATGCGATTAATATTTTCTTTCAAAGAATACTACTAGCTTCGTCCCTGTTACCACGGGCTTTCTAGTTAAATATAAAGTAAACGTGATCTAACTTAACCAAAAGCCTTAAGCTTCTTAATTCAACAATCTCTCCCCATATTTATTCTGAGAAGTATACCAGTACAGCATGGTTTATAAGTTAAAACGGGGGAGTACCAACGGACATTAATGTGCATTAATGTGCATTAATGGGCATTAATGGCAATGGCAGTCTGAGCAAAATTTTAAAATACTGCCATTAATGTCCGTCGGTATCCCCCCCCCCCCCCCCCCCCCCCCCGTTAAAACTGTGTATTTCACTGTCGGATCCACTGTCTGGGTGTGTAATTAAGAAGAGCTCGTGTCTCTGATGCGAGTACAAGCACAAGTTTTAACAAGTTTTAAGAGTAAATTTAGTGAATTACGTCCTTATCGTCTTCATCAGACAATACTCATCTCAAATCTGTCGGAACCAAAAACTCCCTCCATCCTGAAATATTGCTACTGACAGGAGCATGCAGTACATCTTAGCTTGGTGCAAGTTAATCCTGAATCTATGTATATCGGGTTGCTGAGTATATTTATTGCCGAATGTAACCTATGCGCTGATTGTTCAATTTGTTCGAATTGTCCTGAGGCCTGACTATTTAATTATTTAAAGATCTTTGTAACGAAGTTTATTGTTAATTTCAATCCTGCACGATTTCAAAAATTGATGATAGCAAATCCAATTGGACCTGACTTGGCTTAACAGCTCATTATACATGAATATAGATTATAGATATAATTCATAAATCATAATATTGAATTCCTGGTGAATGTGACGAAACATAAAAATATTACGCATAATATGTAATATTATCACAGACTTCTGATGAATAAAGGCACCCAGATAACTAAATTTAGACATGATCTGACCGAAACCAATGCTAAACCTCTCGCTAGTAACCTTATCAGGCTCTTCTACAAAATAAAAATGGGCACAAATTAATTTCTTTCGACGCGCTTCACTCAACGCTTGATGATAACGCGTATTGGATACTCGCAGCACATTTCCTTCAACAGTATTTTGCAAGATGTTTAAAGTTATGTTTCTCCCCGCCCTGATCCTAGTCTTCATATTGCCTGTGACAAGTGTTCAAGTGTCCACTGCTCTCAAATTCGGAGATGATGGAAACAGTCTAATTTCCTTACAACCCAACATGTCACCTCTTACTGACAAGTTTACTGTTTGTCTTTGGTTTAAGGCGCTCCGAGGGAGTACGAGTGCAGTGATATATGCCTACGAACAAGGTGAAATGTATTTGTATGACAACAAAGGTGACAACAATCTGTTTGGAGCAAGTAATTACCTCCCTAGTGAGTTCATAACTCCAATGCGAGAATGGACCCACTATTGTGGAACATGGAGTCTTGCTTCAAGGACGAACCGAGCGTACATTAACGGTAAACTAGCTGGTTTCAAGATCACAGCCTCTGGAAGAAGATTGAAAACAGGTGGAACTCTGGTGTTGGGAGATTATAGAGATCCCGCAGTTCATGGCAAATCTGGTCACCACTTTGGAGGAGAGATGTACAATATTAACTTCTTCTCCAAAGAGTTAACTGGTATTGAAGTTGCAGCAATATCAGCAGATGGGCTCTGTACAGAGATCCCTGAGGAGCTGGAGCAATACCGGGCAATCAGATGGGAGGATCTGTTGAGACTTCCTAGACGTGGAAACGTTCAAGATATCGACAGTGGATGCAGTGTAAGTGCTTATGTGAGCTAATCTCGAGAAGATTTAATGTTTATTGTAGTTTGATAGAATATTCTTACGTCACATAGGTAGCTGGTAGGTGTTATACCATTAGGCATTACCGACTATAAATTCCTGGTGTTTGAAGTTTCATTTCATATATTCACTACTTCAGGATTTTATCGGAGAAAAAGAAACTCTTCGGTTGAGTCTGAACAACACACAAGCAGAACTGCAAAAGTTACAGAGACTGTTCAATTCTACCCAGGAGGAGTTACGGACTGTGAAGAGAAATCTTCTATCTACGACAGAGGAACTCAACAGCACTAGGATTGAACTTGAAGAGACGAGGACCAAGCTAGATAATTCAACTCTAAAAGAAGCAGGATGTACTGTAAGTGAAACGGAACGTCATGTAAATTGTACAACCCTTTACAACTTATTATCAGGCTTAATAACTAATAAGTTTATTAACTTGTATAAATGTATAGGATGAATGGAATTTATTAAGTTATTTTTTAAGTGTCGAAAGTTACCAATTTCCACCTCGGTTGTTAACTGGCTTAGAATTAAACTTTCAGGACGAAATGAAGGTGGTGAAGGGACGTCTACTCTTAAAGGCGGAGGGGCTTAATGCAACAAGAATAGAACTTAAAGGAGTAGTTCTTGCATTGAATGAAACTAGGGCCGAACTAAAAGACACGGCACTCAAATGGAATAAAACAACTGTAGAGTTGAATAAAACTAGGACCGAACTTGATGGCACAACTCTAAAACATTCAGGATGCACTGTAAGTAAAACGAAAATTCATATTATTATATTATAACCCAATGATGATTATTCATTATAGGTTGAAATTTATACAAGTTGTTTTGATAAATGACAAAAAATACCAGTTTCATCTTGGTTACTATAAAATCAGCTTGAAAAACTAAAGAAATGTCACAAAACTTTCAGAAGAAGCTGAATGAGGCGCAGAGAACTTTTCACTCAAAAGAAGAGGAGCTCAATGAAACAAAAGTTGAACTAAAAAGCACTGCACTCGAACTATTTGAAATTAAAGCTGAGCTCGGGGACACAGAGTTGGAACTGGTTGAAACAAAACTGAAGAATGTCAGTGAGACTAAATGTGCCCTGCAAAAAGGGTTTCTGACGAAATGGGACGTCTTCTACTCTTGTGATTACTACAACAAAACCTTCACTCTCCGGCTATATAAACAGCTACAGACAACGTGGGCCTCCCTTACTCGTAAGAACTAGTTTTGTTCCAAATATCTATATCTGATTTATACTATACAAAGTAGGACTCCTAAATTTCACGTTCTTTTTTTTGGAACAAACTGAATAGAGGACTTCACCTTTGTTGTTCATCCTTGTTCAACTTTTTCAACCCAAAACATAGGGAACCATTCGAGCAAAAAACATGACCCGCCTTAATTAAGTGAAGTAAGCCAATATATATATATATAATATGAAAGTTCCTCTCTTTCAGGCAGATTATTGGGTATGACTATCACTGAGAATCTTATTGAAATCATCAAAGAAATGGACGAGGAAAACAGCTGTGATGAAGTTTAACCTTTCCCCTAAAATATATTGTGATACGTTACACTTTGTAAACCTAGAGTAAACGTGATTTAACTTTACTGAAACTTTCAATTAAGATACGATATCTTTTTGTTGTCTCCGCATTAATTTTAAGAAGTGAACCAGTACAGCATGGTTTATAAGTTAAAACTGTGTATCTCACTGTGTATTTCACTGTGTGGGTGTGTGCTAAATGAACCCAAGAAGAGCTCATGTTGCGACGTGAGACGTGAGTACAAGCACCTTTAGGCTTTAGAGTTAGCATTTCCGACTGTACTTCAATATATCGCACATTTTTTCCGTTTTTTGTTAAATAACGAGTTTAAGAGTGAATTTAATCATACTTGTCTTCAAGTATGATATATATGTTTTATGTATTTCAATATTTGTTTGACATGTGAATTCTTGCTGTCCATTTTTAAACTGCCTTTACCGTCTTCGTCAGACAAAACTCTTTACAAATATGTCGGAAACAAAAACTTCCGCAATAAATTGTACCACAAGGTTATAAACCCCAAAGCCCAACAAACCTAGTTTCGATAAGAATGTCGGAGTTAGTAGAAGAGAGAACAGACTTGCAGATGAGCTCCTGGGTAGAAGCAATAGCCACGCCCTTACACACACACAGGTCCGACAGATAAGACAAGTACCGACCCTCCTTATTCTTCCTGACCAGCTGTACAAACGTGTCTATCTCACTGGCGTTGATGTGCTTTTCTAGAAGTTTCCTGTTGTTGTTTAACAGGGCTGTGATCGTGTCCTCGGCTAGGATATCGTAACCGATTTGGCTTTGCATGAACGAAAACCAGGTTTTAGCGATGTATTCCTGTAGAATAGCAAGCATTTGATCTTGTGTCTATCTAATCGGTGAAATTATGTAAAGCAAAATGGTACAAAACTCGCTAGAGGAGACCTTAACAATATTGATTATGAGGATGATGTCCAATTAATATTCTAATGACCAGTATTTCAACTCTTAATTTTTAATCACAAACCTGGTTTTTACGGTAAGATTGCTGCGAGACTTTTATCATCCGGTAACTGAGTCTACAGATAGACCGGAAAGGAGCCCACTTCTTGTCTAGCAGCAGCTCCATAGGCGTCTCTTTGTTAAACGGAGCTTTCAGAAGCTCGAACACCTGTCAATTTAGTAATGGTACTTATTGTTCATCTAATTTGGAGGGTTTGTATGTCAATTGTGGTGGATATAAACCAAATTTAGAAGATATCTCAATCTGTTCTAGATTTCCACCGGATTTTCACGATGAGTACCTGTTTTAAGATGTCCTGTTCCCTGACTAGTTTTTGTCGGTCTCTGTTGGGTTTACCCTGGACGTTCATCACATCCCTAGTTGTCAGGTCAACTTCCAGACAGAAACATATCAGTTCCGAGAGGAGGACTGTCAGCGCTCTGAAACACAATGTCACTAAAAAACGGGGAAAACAAACCAGACGAAATGTATTAAAATATTCGGGGATCAGCCGTGCTGCTGCTGCGGTGCTAAAAAACAACTCTAGAAGTTCAGTGAGCACGGAAGCAGACTTAAAACTGTCTTGTGTCCGGAACTGGAACTTTAGAGTTTGTAAGCTGTGCTTTATAGCGGTAGCAGATTTATTCAGGAACTTTGAACCAGTCGACGCGAAAATTACAACCAGAACTTTAGACTCTTCTTTTGAGATACGAGGGGGAAGTTGGGGATCATTAATATAATAAAATAAAATTTTATAGCGAGAGTTACACCAGTTCCGACGGAAATTCACCGGCGAGGTCTGGAAACTCTTTCGATCACTCATGCAAATTACAATCGAGATAGTGTGAACACGTTATGGACTTCAGAAAAAAAAACGAGAATCAAACTTCTCAGAATCTCTCAAGCAACTTCCATGCAACAACAAAAAACGGAGGGAAATCCAATGTTCACATATCATACTATGGTATGATATTTGAAAATTGGATTCCTGATCAATCATTCTGCATATTCATCATCATTTCCATCTCATACTCACTTTTCATCACCCCAACCACCAAATGATTTCTTCTTTGCTTCACTGAGGGACACATAAAATACTGAGATCAAATCCCGAACATGCATATATTCTGTGATTTGAAGACTTACCGTGGACGGTTATTCGGTTGAAGAAACGTCAGCAGAAGGCCTCGGTAATACCCAAATACTAACATTATAACGGAACCTGGTTACTATTTACATGCTAAACCAAATTGCTTCAATTGTTAAGGCAGCAATAAAAGGCTAGCTTTATGCACTGTTTTAAGTCAGGGCTGGAAATGAAACTTCTAAAAATGCTGAGTAGCTTTTTCGGGGCTTTCATTCTTTCTCAGCAGTTTAGTTAAACTAGTGTTTTGTAGCATTTAGCGAAAAATTGTCTCTCCATTTTGCAAGATTAAAACTTAAAGGTGCAAACAGTAAAGGAGCAATTATAGCCGTGAATAGTGAATGCAGAAATAACAGTAATGCTATCGGTCCCGTCAAAATGAGGTCAAAATGAGACCAAAATGCGGTCAAAACTATGGTGAAAACTAGCTAGGATGTGACGTAGGCTACAAAATTTAAAAACCGGATACTTAACGAAACAAAGTGTGGTAAAAAAATAAGAACTTGATGTTAGCTTCGACGGCATTTCTCATCTTTTACCACACTTTGTACCGATGAATACCCGGGTATTTAACAACCCAATGTCCAAAAGAAAGTGACGGGCCCGGTAGCACATCTGTGAGCTTATAGATCACGTGACTGTGACAAGTATAACATTTATCTTACTTATGAAAGTGCTGGTCCGCTCTGTTGTCCCGTTCAGGACTAGGAGATTAATAGTTCAAAAACAAATCAGAGTTTTAAATAGTTAACATTCCAAACGTGCAGAACATTTTTACTTATAAGGGTTAATCAAAAAACTTTTCAACTTTTAACATGCAGCATGCATCATGCAGGCATCATTTCAGGATAATAGCGATAAGGAACATCTAAGATTCCGTTGCAGAATTATTGTTCAAACAGGTGATTATATATTCGTTGTTCAGTTCTTCAGTTATGAAAGTCATAACCATTTTGCAAATGATTTCATTGGGTAGAACAAGCGATATTTCATAATAAATCACAGCAAGGATTTCATTGATTATGGTATTTCAGTCAAATTTAGAGCAAATAGGTCACACCAAAACATGGGCTGTGAGCATTCGATCAGTTACATGTTGTCTCTATTTAAATACGTACTTTCTTCCGTTTTGAGTTAATGTTCCTGACTTGACCTGTTGTACGGCTTCCTTCAGAACCAAGCAAGCATCGTTCGCAAAGTCAAGGTCCCTGACTTCTGCCGTAGGAACCGACACAATAGCGAACGCTTCCTTGTCCTCGCGAACTCGAGCTAACCCGACCTGGAATTAAAGAGGTCGGTAATAACAGATACCTGGTTACCTGGTTACCTGGTTACCTGGTTACCTGGTTACCTGGTTACCTGGTTACCTGGTTACCTCGCGAACTCGAGCCAATCCGACCTGGAATTAAAGAGGTCGGTGATAACAGATAAGTGACAACTAGTTGCCTGCCATCCAGGGGATCGCAACCTGTTCGCGCTGGGGTCCCTTGCCAATAATTCACACACAGGAAATACAGTAAATAATCGCCGGGTGGGTGTCCACTGACCCTTGCCAATAATTCACACACAGGAAATACAGTAAATAATCGCCGGGTGGGTGTCCACTGACCAATATCGGTCGGTCGGTATTGCATCGCGGACACGACGAACTTAACATAATTACGCGCGCTGCGCGCGACAGAACTGAGCCTTGAAGCTAGGGTGCTACCATAGAAAAATGTCGCCGCGCGTAACTACAAATTGGACAATTCAGCAAAAATTCCAAGTTTGTAACCACTGTACCCTTGCTTATAATTGGCAAGGTTATGGAACATTGAGCACTGTCTAAATTTCATATCTCCGACATGAGCTCAAAGACACTAATTTTCATAATCACCATTCAATTCAGTTTGGCCATGCACACTGCGCACTTGCACCGGCACCACCATAAACCAATTATGAAACTGTCAAAACAACTCATGCTTTCTTGGCCAGTGCCATTTAAGAATTCAAAAATGCCCTGTTAAAGAGCAATTTGTAGTCCAGGAGCATTCTAGTTTCACGTCATCTGGGTTGACGTAGGCCGTCATCCTAGATCAGTCATCTTGCGGTGTCACGCAGCACATTCAGCCACATTCAGTACTTATTTGAAATATTTATAATACTGTACACCGTAGTTACTATTGTAGAATCAGTCATCTTGTTTCAAATGACTCGCACAGGAGACCAAGGTATATCTTCATTTTAATATTTGACACGACATCAAAGGTATTGCGTGAGCAATATTCCGACGAATTCTTAAAATGACACGGTGAGCTATAATCCATGTGATCGCAGGTAATTAGGCTCTATAATGCTATTCCTGCCTTTATTTAGACAATTTGGACCATATAAATTTCTCCAACGATTTAATATCAAATCCCAAAATTGCGATGATTTATTGGTCCGAGTGCCATAACTGCACTGAAAAAAAAGTTAATATAATAATAATACGTGTAATATAATTATAGATATTACACGTACTCTCATTCTGAAGGATAAAATACATTTAATACTTTTAGCGCTACGCTTGCTATGTTACTAGCCATTTAAATACGACATTATATTATTTAAAGCACTCAATTTTTCTGCGGAATTACTCTCAAATTTGACAGATTTTAGTACCTTTTATTATTCAATGCGACTCACACATGTCTCCTTCAAAATATTAATATATACATTAAGGAGACATGTGTGAGTCGCTACAATAACCGTGTCACGGACACACGTGACACGATGATCCGTGATATTGCTAAACAGTTACCTTGTGCATAACAGGTGTGTCACTGTTCTTGTCAAGAGGAATGTTGGTTGCGTGGCACCAGGTATTTGTGCGGAGGTGTCGTAGCCTGAACACAGTTAAAAACATCAGTTAAAAACAGCTGTAAAAACATCAGTAACAGCTCTAAAAAACATAAGTTACTGTCAGCCCGCTGTGACAACAACAAGATGTGCATGTATTTGAAAAGAGACACATTGTTATTATTACATTATACTCTTTATAGTATGCTAGAGAGAGGCAGACAGGTGTGAACGGATCAGTCAGTCACGTGACATATCAATCACGTCACACATTATACGTATATCACGCAAGTATTTACATCAAGGAACATAAGACTGAACTGTACTGATAGGAGGTGAACTATAGTCATTGTTTGGCATGTGAGTGACCAATCAGCTTCCAGCATTGACCAATGAAAACCTCGAAACACTGTCACGTGATTCTATAGCTTTAGTATTAAAGTATTAATAAGATTGGTCCCGTGAGCGGATAACGGGAGCTAGTCCCTGTCAGGACAGTGTCTGATCACTATCTTAACAAAACGCTGTGATACAGGGAACCACACCCACAGCTAAGAAAAGTGCTTTGTACAGTTCACAATGACACAGGGCTTATTACCCTCCAATAATGAAATTGAAGTCATAAGTTACACTGATATTGCTAAAATAGGGTGTGTAACTGCTCCGCCCCTTTGAAGAGCTGTAGTGGTATTGTGGAGCTGTAGTGGTATTGTGGAGCTGTAGTGGTATTGTCTTATTGTGGAGCTGTAGTGGTATTGTGGAGCTGTAGTGGTATTGTCTTATTGTGGAGCTGTAGTGGTATTGTGGAGCTGTAGTGGTATTGTGGAGCTGTAGTGGTATTGTGGAGCTGTAGTGGTATTGTGGAGCTGTAGTGATATTGTGGAGCTGTATTGGTATTGTGGAGCTGTAGTGGTATTGTGGAGCTGTAGTGGTATTGTGGAGCTGTAGTGGTATTGAAGAGCTGTAGTGGTATTGTGGAGCTGAAACTGTTTTATTTGACGGCCTTCTGTTATGAAACATTAATAATTGAGCACAGTACCTGACGTAGCTGCTGCGGGGAACAAGCTCATCTCCCTTGATAATAGTTGTCGGGTCCAGCTCGAATATGGAGAAGATATCGTGACCATAGGGCACAGAATTCAGCTGGAATACAGGCATGTCCTTTCCTCCTTGCAACTTAAGTCTGTTGGAGTCTTCAATCGGGTCCGGGTCAATCTGAGCGGTAGGGAAACTTTAAAATCTGACGCAAGATCTAACAACATCACTAGGACAGTATTGAAAATTTGATTTTAAGTGTCTAGTGTTTGTATAGTTTTAAATGTAGTTGCATAGTTATATGAAAGGGGCGAGACAATATACCACTACACGTTAGAAAGAGGACTCAGATCAGTAACCCCTTATTTTCCCGCGCACTCTGCACTTAGTGTTAGTGTTATGTAGGTGGGACTTACATAACACTCAGTAACCCCTTATTTTCCCGCGCACTCTGCACTTAGTGTTAGTGTTATGTAGGTGGGACTTACATAACACTCGGGTATTATGACGCGTCTAACAATCTCCACACCTCACTGTATACGTGTCACTCTACACAGCACAGCCAGTTAGATCCCCCAGGGGATGACAAAGCAGTCTCTGAGCACATGCCATAGTGTACTTCATCACACCGCGCCAGTGTGACGTCATGACACGTGGTGTGACGTCATGACACGTGGTGTGACGTCTCCGAGCACATGCCATAGTGTACTTCATCAGACCGCGCCAGCTCAACAAACAGCAGGTACTGCTGTTTTCTGGATCGTGCAAATTCCAGAATCCTTTGAAACATTATAGAGTTATAGGCTTATAGCTCCTTTGGTGCTTTGTTATGTACACAACACGTAGGTAAATGTACCGGAGGAATGTTCGAGCTATTCAACACACCAAACATTCTGAAACACCGGCTCCACCAAGCTGAACACCTCACAGTACCATCTAAGATAATGTAGCGAGGGAGGGTAGTGTTGTTAAGAGTGGGGTCTGATGTTACACGTGTACCTAGCAGGCTATTAACAGCAGATTGTTAATTTCAACTTTAACTCTCAACTCAAAACTTTCATCACACGAAAAAAGGCAGTTTCAACTTCAAGAGTCCATCTGGCACCTTGTACGGGAATGTCTCAATCCAGTGTTTCACGCCCTGAGCACACATTGAGCTGTGTGGATTTCCATTTCAGGGATCTCTCCGACAATTGGTTCTGCGGCTAGATCTACCCTTCATTAATATCTTGTTACACGATACAAAATGGTGATCATATCTTTAAAACTGTTTAAATGTAACTCCAGAGTAACGAGCAATGTGCATGTATCACATTTCTGTAGCAATAGAAGTAATAACTCATAGTATACGTCGCAGGTAAATCTTACAACTTTAGAAGCTTTAAGACAATATTCTAGTTACCCAGCGCAGCTGCTACGGGCCTTTACATACACTTAACCAACGTTTCCGGTGCGTATAATATCATACCCGCAATATATCCCCATTCACCATACTACGTCCACTCAGCTTGATAAACAAATACTCATCATAATGTACCATTATTAGTACTTTAACACAGTGCACACTAACTCCGTGATCATTATTCAGCTTCTAGAGCATTGATTTGCCTCTTACCATGAAGAGCATGAAGGTAAGCAGCTATTAAGATTTTATACATCTTGCCGCACGCGCAGTTTTATCGTTAAACTGTTGACAGGCGATTTAAATACTGCAATCTTATGTCAGTTTATATAATTTGCTATTAGTTACATGTGAGAAAGATGGAGATTTATGATGACCCCATTTTACCTTCGCCTGTATTTATTTTTTCTAAGATTACAAAAAATAGAGTTAAAGCAGGTTATATCTAAGGTATCTGGTATATAATAAAGGTTATATATTATATATCATAGTATATAACCTATACTATATGGTATATCTGCACAATACAAAAATTTCAAATTTGCACGACTTTATCTGAAAGCTTATCATAACGAGGCGATAACAACAGTAAAATTAGGTAAAGAAAGTAAAAACATTTCTAAACACAAAGTATAAAGTTGTTTAAATAGTTTGCATACCTCGCAAGCTAGATACTGGCCAGTAGCGAGGTGCTTGAAGCGGTAGAGAGAGTTCCACCGTCCTGCTCCACCACGACAAGGGTCTGTAGCTACAACTTCCACCTGGTAAAAAGGAGGGGTTATGAGGGGTTATGGAGGGGTAAGGAGGGATTATGAGGGGTTAGGAGGAATTTACAACTTTTGGGATGGATTTGAAGCAATTGTGAGGAATATTTAACAGAAATAAGATATGCTGTAATTTTCAAAACAGTTTGATAATCCTGGTGAGATTATCTAGACTATATATAGGCGGCAATATTTAATTGTAATAGACAGGTATGTCGAGACAATTTGAACAAAGTTACTAAATTTTAAATTATGTATCGTTACGACCATACTTTGATGGTTTGCTCAGGTGGTCCATCCAATTAACTGTGACCCAACTTGAATAATTACACCCGAATAAACAAAGTAAACAGTACCCACAGTTCACCTATCTATTCCACGCATAATATTTGTAGCACCCAGAGAATGCTCCACCTCACCACGTGTTATATCAGTTGCTATATAAGCTGAAGTACTGGTATTAATCAACCGGTGTTGCCTTCATACGTGTAGCCCAGTTATACTGGTACTATTAACACGGTGGTTGACGCAGAGATCCATTATTATAATAATATGTCAATACCATTAGTAGTGTACTGTGTTGTACTGCATGTCACTTGAGAGATCACGTGGTGTGGTTGTGAGGTCACGTGACACTGTCACGTGACAGGGGAACAGGACAGCTGTGGGAATCGGAGAGATACTGTAGTGTTGCTTGGGTCAGTGGAGTGTTCAGGGTATAAGACATTCAGTTTAAATGGGCAATATACTATCATTAAATCTCACAAAATTCCTTTTAAATTTGCCTGGGAGTTGAAGATATGCACACAAAATATTATAACATTTCTCTAATGAACATAGAATGTGGTAAATACTTGCAGACAGTTAATATAGTGCTTACAGGCAGGAGGAGAGATAATTTATAATTATCACATTGTTCTTAATTATCACTGATACTATTCGTAGCAGTTAGGATACCAAACATATTGAATTAATAACATATTAACATAATGTTAACATTAATATTATGGGAATAAGCTAATACTAAAATACCAGACTAATTTTACAGTGCGTTTTTAATGCACCAATTCAATGTAGCTGGAATCTCTTTTACCATACAACAAACGAATATCTTATATCATGGTGCCGTAACATGGTCTTTTAGACCCTCGGGAATTTGGGGTATAGTTAAACAGGGAGTGATATATTGTGTTCTTACTTGTTACTTTGTTATGATAGGGTTTAGTAACTGTTCTGAGTTGTTGTATGGGTTGGAAATATGTAGTGAACTGGTGAGCATAATAACTTTAGAACTCAATATTGGCATTGCAATTAGAACTGTTATTTAGAAGTGTTTTTACGATAGATTTACAATATCTGTGATCGATAATACTGTTAATGATCAATCGTGAACACCGCAGTTTTCTACGAATACTAACATCAGTTCAGTTGTCCATTATTATGAGATGGTCAAAGAAAGTCACGTTGTACGGGTCCACTATCATTTGAACGGTATCCCACGCATGTAATACAGGTTAAAGGTCACCAGATTAATATAAAAAGGTTCCCAGTTCACATTTAACCCGTGGCATATTCGATAGTCGCATATTATTATAGTTAACTTCCCTAGTAACCAACTTTAATTTTGTAGTTATGTAGATTTTAATGAAGGAACAGAGAGGAAGCTTGACGAACTGTAAAGTTGCGAAATCGTCATTCCATGATTAATTTCATGAGATGACTCTTTTGACATTTCTAGCGTAAACGATAGTGAAATTGCATCCTATTACGGCCACGGCCCTATCACGGTCTTTGCACATGAAAAGTTTCGGAAGCATGACATCTTGTAGTTTCGGAAGCATGACGTCTTGTAGTTGTGGAGTTACTATTTTTAGACTTAACTTATAAATGTATTTTATTCATAACACATTTCAAAACGTAGGATAAGTCACCTGACGAACAACAACAGCTGATAGATTTTATATAATAACCCCGAAAACCCCGAAAAACCCCGAAAAACCCCACTATAACTGAAAGTGAGATCTCACTTAACACCTCATTACATTGCATCCTCTATTTCGATAAAACTAACTGTAATTATAATGAGAGTTATATAAATGTCGCACACTTTGCAGTTTATAAATTATACGCCTTTCCTTAAATGTCAGCCTCGTTAATTGAATGATTAATAAGGAAATAGCAGTAATAATACCGGTAATATACTGTTAATTAATGTGGTATTGATACCTTGCTAATTTGGAATTCATCCAATAACAACTTTTACACCCTATAAATTACTAAATTATTCAACTTGTTTGAATGTATGAATGGTATAATAGAACTAAAAGTGAATTTAGAGCCTCAGTTATGTCTAAGTTCCTTGTGGGACACAATCTAAATGGTAGTTGATACATTTTACTATCACTATTAACAATCACATTACTTTAATTCCACGAATAAAAGTTCCTTGTCCGAACGGTACATAATATACTTACATCACCAAAAACCACCACTTTTGTCGGCTACATTATTAAAGTTACTTAGCAACTGACGTCTACAGAAGAGACACTTGAATTAGTACCATTATCCGTCAATAAAGTGTTATAGTCCTTAATCCTTACTGTGCTGCCAAGTTAATACGTGGTAAATTCACTACAATATGTAATTCTCCGAAATAAAATATGTAAAATGAAATGTAAGATGAACTCAATTCAGAGATGAAAAGTACCAAATTATTCCAACTTAAATTCAAGACAGAACTAGCTTATTATATTACTGATTACATTACAAGATTACCTTGGATCCATTCCATCTAGATCGGCTTTAAATTTCAGGGCCTTGGTAATTATACGATAACAAAAATTAAATTAATTCTAATAAGTATGAACATATTATGCAAACGAATAAACAAAAAGGGGAAACTAACCTCCCAGAGAGCCTTAGAGCTGGTGGCAGCAGTTTTAGTGGTTCTGCCAGTGCTCCGCAGGAAGACAACACTGTTCCCCTTGTAGTCGTCACACGTTAGGAACTTCTCCTGCTCCGCGTGGAACAACCGCACCACATCGCCCTGGACACAACAAGGGTTTATTATTTCTGATACTCATTTACGTTATATAATGTAATTTGTAATTTTTCATTTTTAGTTTAACAGTCACATAAGGTCGCCCGGGAAAGTTTCTGATCTATAGCATAGCATGTGAAGGTTGAAACTTGCAAGATGTGGTCTAGACGGCGCACCAAAATGAGAGTGGATAATCGTATTTTAATGAGTCACACGATTTCTACAGAAGCGGTTATATCCTAAAATTATTAATGCGCATATTTTGTTCTTATTCATGCCAAATGAAACTCTGCTACTAAGCCATTGTGCACAAATTATTATTGACAAACGCTGACAATTTAAAACATTTGAGAAAATTATTGAATCATTGTCTTCGGAATTTTTTGATTGGGTGGAATTTAGCCGCAATTAATCCTTTTTCAATTAAATTGGTAAACAACTTTCTTCTAGTCATGCTTATGGATTTAATCATGTCGAAGAACATGTTGTGTACCGAGCTGACAAATTAAACCTTTAAATACATTAAAGGTGCCAAATCTAAATATTGACAGCAGTTTATCAGCCTGCCGACAGTTCCCACAGATTAGCAGGTTCCGATTCAGTTACGTAATCTGATTCGAGCAGCACCAATCCACCACGTGACTCACTGACTAGACCACGTGATTAGACCACGTGACTAGACCACGTGACTAGACCACGTGACTAGACCACGTGACTAGACCACGTGACTTAACCACGTGACTTAACCACGTGACTTAACCACGTGAATAGACAACGTGACTAGACCACGTGACTAGACCACGTGACTAGACCACGTGACTAGACCACGTGACTAGACCACGTGACTAGACCACGTGACCAGACCACGTGACCATACCACGTGACTATACCACGTGACTATACCACGTGACCAGACCACGTGACTAGACCACGTGACTAGACCTCGTGACTAGACCACGTGACTGGATAACAGTTCAGTGCTAGAGTAGATATATGGTGTTCAAGCATCATTCCTCATCAAGACTTAACATTCCAATAACATACCAAAATAGACACCGAGAAGGCAATATTGACATTGATAAAACCTGGAGCAGGTAATGCCATATTCGCAAGTATAACCGAACAATGTAAAGTGACATGTCATGAGTGACATAGGTGAGGGAACTGTGATGAGTCTTGAGGGACCTGTTTACATACTTGGCAATCTGGTGCTTTGTTTACAAAACTATAACCTTGTAACGACCCTTAAATCAGCGGATACCCTTAAAAGCACAAAAACTGCTTAAAACACAACGCGGATATTGTCCAATTATTACTATCAATTACATTTAATTGTACTTTAAACTATGGGTTGAAGTTTTACGTAAAGTTTATTTTGGCCCACCTTGTAGAAACACTGAACACTCGCTCTACGGCATACACTTTTCAGTTTTCATAAATCCTCGAAGTTATTCGGTCGAGTTTATCCACAATCAGGACAAACTACTAAAATAGATCTAGTCTATGTGGGTAATTATGTAAAATGTACTCAAAACAGCAACTTACCCCTTTTAAGATGTCCTCCCTGTTCTCTGAGAAGTCCATAAACAAGGAAATCTTCCAACTTGTATCACAGCTGGGGGAGGAGAGAGTTAGAAATAATACTAATACAGTATAATTATATATAATATTGTGTGGGATGAAAGAAGAGGACTGGCGGATTGCTTGCGGAGTAGGGCTGGTGTATCAGCTGGCTTTGTATGAGAACAACAAGTAGCTTCTTTTAATGCTTTTAATAAAGACCTTTAGTAAGAGTTCTAAGACTCTGAGATTCTGAGATATTCAGGCTTTTTCAGCATTGAAAATGAGAAACAGTCTCTATTTCAGGCTCTAATATCCTAATTATTTTAAAACATCCGTTTGCAAGGTGTAGACTCTTCGTCAACTGTTGTCTCTTCCATGATCTTAGATTGCAATTCAAATTGTCTTCAAGTAGTAATATTCACGTCATTGTCCATCTCTCATTTAGGTATTTTATGTCTACATCAAATCCAGAGTAACACAGGCATAAACGTCGGTTGATTCCAGCGAAATTTGTTAGCAGTTCCGACTTCCTGTAGTCCTCATTTTCCACTGTAGAGAAGATTGAAGGTGCTCTTCGCTTGAAGACACCCTCCCTAAGCCAGGGTCCCCAAGTCCCCGATTACCATGTACACTAATTGTTATGCAGATCAGTCTCCCAGACCACATCTTCACTCTGACAAAACGTACATGCACAGGGGGTATTCCTGCGGCGTACTTTCAGCTCACAGTGTCTTAATATGGTAATATTGGTCACGTATTGTGTGAGAGGTGCCTGGTGCACGCCTCCCCAGGGTAGTGTGCAGGGTAGTGTGCAGGGTAGTGTGCAGGGTATCAGTGTGCAGGGTGGTGTGCAGGGTGGTGTGCAGGGTAGTGTGCAGGGTAGTGTGCAGGGTAGTGTGCAGGGTGGTGTGCAGGGTGGTGTGCAGGGTAGTGTGCAGGGTAGTGTGCAGGGTAGTGTGCAGGGTAGTGTGCAGGGTGGTGTGCAGGGTAGTGTGCAGGGTGGTGTGCAGGGTAGTGTGCAGGGTGGTGTGCAGGGTAGTGTGCAGGGTAGTGTGCAGGGTAGTGTGCAGGGTAGTGTGCAGGGTGGTGTGCAGGGTAGTGTGCAGGGTAGTGTGCAGGGTAGTGTGCAGGGTGGTGTGCAGGGTAGTGTGCAGGGTGGTGTGCAGGGTAGTGTGCAGGGTGGTGTGCAGGGTAGTGTGCAGGGTGGTGTGCAGGGTAGTGTGCAGGGTGGTGTGCAGGGTGGTGTGCAGGGTAGTGTGCAGGGTAGTGTGCAGGGTGGTGTGCAGGGTGGTGTGCAGGGTAGTGTGCAGGGTGGTGTGCAGGGTAGTGTGCAGGGTAGTGTGCAGGGTAGTGTGCAGGGTAGTGTGCAGGGTAGTGTGCAGGGTAGTGTGCAGGGTAGTGTGCAGGGTGGTGTGCAGGGTAGTGTACAGGGTAGTGTGCAGGGTAGTGTGCAGGGTAGTGTGCAGGGTGGTGTGCAGGGTAGTGTGCAGGGTAGTGTGTACTGTGCAGGGTGGTGTGCAGGGTGGTGTGCAGGGTAGTGTGCAGGGTGAGGTGCAGGGTAGTGTACAGGGTGGTGTGCAGGGTGGTGTGCAGGGTAGTGTGCAGGGTAGTGTGCAGGGTGGTGTGCAGGGTGGTGTGCAGGGTAGTGTGCAGGGTGGTGTGCAGGGTGCAGGGTAGTGTGCAGGGTGGTGTGCAGGGTAGTGTGCAGGGTAGTGTGCAGGGTAGTGTGCAGGGTAGTGTGCAGGGTGGTGTGCAGGGTAGTGTGCAGAGTGGTGTGCACTGTGCAGGGTGGTGTGTCAGGGTGTGTACTGAGCAGGAGTCTGTAATAGTAGCACTGTAGCAGTGCAGCAGGGGAGAGGCTAATGTGCTGCACTCTGGTGGACTGCAGGGTCTGCAGGATGTAATTTATCTGGAAACATTCTGCCAGCTGTACTATTTCTGGACACATCTATATCATACACAATATTACTCAATTGCAATTGAATTGTGTATATATACAGCATGCTCATGTATAAAATGTAGGTACGCTAGATGCCGGATCGCATGTCCGCATGTCCGCATTTAACGCATGATAATTTGCACTTTTGGGCGGCGCGAATGGGTATTAGTAAAATCTCCGCACCTAAAAGTTGGCTCTCCCTTACACGAGCTGTGCTCTCAATACAACACACTAATTATACCATTAAGATGACGGGTTGCTCTGAAGAAACCAGAGCTTTCTGAAACTTGATCCCTGTGTTTTGGAGGCCCGCATATTTAGAGCATGCTGGAGAAAGACTGGCAATTAATATGTTAGACATGTTAAATACGTTATACATGTTAGACATGATATGTTAAACATGTTAAACATGTTAAATATGTTAGACATGTTAAATATGTTAGACTACCTTTCAGCCCCTTAAGATCAAGCCTATTCAGCTGGCAGGTGTTTTGGGACAATACACTCAGTGTTTTGATAAAGTATTATACAGTATTATAGTTATACACTCAATGTTTTTCAAATGATACTCGCCCAAACCTAAGACACAACAACTGAATCTTTACAAGCCAGGCTGTGATTGTACATACTTAAAATATATTTGTACACAGTACAATAATCCAGAGGTCCTACGATTGTGGCCTTGTGGAGCGGTGGTACAGGGAGAACTCTGTTGTGATTGTATTCCCCAAATAATGATACATAATACAATGGGGTATATTGCATGCCCTAACGGAGCATTTGCATCACAAAGTTGGTAGAGAATTTAATCTTGGAGTGACGAGGTAGGGACGGATCTAATCAGATAGCTGTCATGATAGTCTTACTACACGTCGTAAATAAGATGGCTAATGTATTATAGGGTGGGGCTTGGCAACTATTTTCCCGCAAATGCCAGAAGATCAGCTTTGTGTTTTCCACTTATTGGCATTACTTTGAACAATAATATTATAGAGATACCACTCCCGATACCACACATTGCAACATATTAGGAAACCTTCTGTATTTAATTGTGTATGCTGGGACCCCTTTATGTTAAATGAATTGTAGACGTAGCGTTCTCTGTGTAAGCTTGGGAGGACATGTTTTGAAAACAATAGCTCGGTCTCAGCTCCAGTACAGTGTACAATAGTTCCGGGGAGACACAAAACACAGGGCCACCGTGTTTTATATTGAATGTGTGTGTGTGTGTATATAGAGTACCTACTTCACGCTATGTTATATTATAAACTTAAACAATGCCTTGTTAGGTACACCTGAAGATAACTTCATATATATCATAATATTATCATTCATCGTTTTCATCTATTTGTGTTGTTGTTCGAAGACCTGAAAACAACAAAAGATGTAGCATTCACGTTACTTAAAATGGTGAACACTTAAGTATATATTATATATAATATATAATATTATCCAGCTGCGGCCTGCGCTGCAGAGCTTATTATTAAAGCATAATATTGTATCATATTATTATCATATAATAATAATATCATATTTTGTTTTGCTAGTGAAAATAATATTTATATGTAAGGCCAAGGACTGTATAATACTGTAATGCAAAACTACACAACGAACGACCCATTTTTATAATCATTATAGCTTTATAGAATTGAATTATATCATTTCAGAGCCTCATTTTCACATAAAGTTAACCAATTAAAGGATTAAATAACCATTAGTGCTGTTATGCTGGGTTATATAGCGGCTAGTGTGCAGACGGTGCTTTGTGAGTTTATATCGAGAAATAATGCTTGTGGTGGAGTTTGTAGATAACAAAACTACGAAATTAGTGAGAGGGTGAGGCTAATGGTGGGCTTGGTTGAGAGTTGGTGGGTGGGCTCAGAGCAGAGTGTTAAAAACTCAATGTTACATTGAAAGAAGTGGGGGGGGGGGGGGGGTGGCTATAAACTCAATATTACATTGAAAGAAGTGGGGGAGGGGGGTGGCTATAAACTCAATGTTACATTGAAAGAAGTGGAGGGGTGGCTATAAACTCAATATTACATTGAAAGAAGTGGGGGGGGGGGGCTATAACTCAATATTACATTGAAAGAAGTGGGGGGGGGGGGCTATAACTCAATGTTACATTGAAAGAAGTGGGGGGGTGGCTATAAACTCAATGTTACATTGTATTGAAAGAAGTGGGGGAGGGGGGCTATAACTCAATGTTACATTGAAAGAAGTGGGGGAGGAGGGGCTATAAACTCAATATTGCATTGAAAGATTGGGGAAGGGGGGTGGCTATAAACTCAATGTTACATTGAAAGAAGTGGGGGGGGGGGGGGGTGGCTATAAACTCAATATTACATTGAAAGAAGTGGGGGAGGGGGGGTGGCTATAAACTCAATGTTTCATCTTTACATTGAAAGAAGTGGGGGGGGGGGGGTGGCTATAAACTCAATGTTACATTGAAAGAAGTGGGGGGGGGGGGCTATAAACTCAATGTTACATTGAAAGAAGTGGGGGGGGGTTTAAACTCAATATTACATTGAAAGAAGTGGGGGGGTGGCTATAAACTCAATGTTACATTGAAAGAAGTGGGGGAGGGGAGTTATAAACTCAATGTTACATTGAAAGAAGTGGGGGGGGGGGTGGCTATAAACTCAATGTTACATTGAAAGAAGTGGGGGAGGGGGGTGGCTATAAACTCAATGTTACATTGAAAGAAGTGGGGGGGGGTGGCTATAAACTCAATGTTACATTGAAAGAAGTGGGGGAGGGGAGTTATAAACTCAATATTACATTGAAAGAAGTGGGGGAGGGGGTGGCTATAAACTCAATGTTACATTGAAAGAAGTGGGGGGGGGGGGGGGTGTCTATAAACTCAATGTTACATTGAAAGAAGTGGGGGGAGGGTGGCTATAAACTCAATGTTACATTGTATTGAAAGAAGTGGGGGAGGGGGGGCTATAACTCAATGTTACATTAAAGAAGTGGGGGAGGGGGGGGCTATAAACTCAATGTTACATTGAAAGAAGTGGGGGAGGGGGTGGCTATAAACTCAATGTTAAATTGAAAGAAGTGGGGGGGGGTGGCTATAAACTCAATATTACATTGAAAGAAGTGGGGGAGGGGGGGTGGCTATAAACTCAATGTTACATCTTTACATTGAAAGAAGTGGGGGAGGGGGGGTGGCTATAAACTCAATGTTACATTGAAAGAAGTGGGGGAGGGGGGGTGCCTATAAACTCAATGTTACATTGAAAGAAGTGGGGGAGTTATAAACTCAATGTTACATTGAAAGAAGTGGGGGAGGGGAGTTATAACTCAATATTACATTGAAAGAAGTGGGGGGGGTGGCTATAAACTCAATGTTACATTGAAAGAAGTGGGGGAGGGGAGTTATAAACTCAATATTACATTGAAAGAAGTGGGGGAGGGGGGGTGTCTATAAACTCAATGTTACATTGAAAGAAGTGGGGGAGGGGGTGGCTATAAACTCAATGTTACATTGAAAGAAGTGGGGGGGGGGGGGTGGCTATAAACTCAATATTACATTGAAAGAAGTGGGGGAGGGGGGTGGCTATAAACTCAATACTACATTGAAAGAAGTGGGGGGGTGGCTATAAACTCAATATTACATTGAAAGAAGTGGGGCTATAACTCAATGTTACATTGCAAGAAGTGGGGGGGGGGCTATAAACTCAATGTTACATCTTTACATTGAAAGAAGTGGGGGGGGGGCTATAAACTCAATATTACATTGAAAGAAGTGGGGGGGGGGGGGGTGGCTATAAACTCAATGTTACATTGAAAGAAGTGGGGGAGGGGAGTTATAAACTCAATGTTACATTGAAAGAAGTGGGGGAGGGGGGGCTATAAACTCAATATTACATTGAAAGAAGTGGGGGGGAGGGGAGTTATAAACTCAATGTTACAGTGAAAGAAGTGGGGGAGGGGAGTTATAAACTCAATATTACATTGAAAGAAGTGGGGGAGGGGAGTTATAAACTCAATGTTACATTGAAAGAAGTGGGGGAGGGGAGTTATAAACTCAATATTACATTGAAAGAAGTGGGGGGGTGGCTATAAACTCAATGTTACATTGAAAGAAGTGGGGGGGGAGTTATAAACTCAATATTACATTGAAAGAAGTGGGGGAGGGGGGGTGTCTATAAACTCAATGTTACATTGAAAGAAGTGGGGGAGGGGGTGGCTATAAACTCAATGTTACATTGAAAGAAGTGGGGGGGGGGGTGGCTATAAACTCAATATTACATTGAAAGAAGTGGGGGAGGGGGTGGCTATAAACTCAATGTTACATTGTATTGAAAGAAGTGGGGGAGGGGGGGTGTCTATAAACTCAATACTACATTGAAAGAAGTGGGGGGGGGTGGCTATAAACTCAATATTATGCATTGAAAGAAGTGGGGGGGGGGGCTATAACTCAATGTTACATTGCAAGAAGTGGGGGGGGCTATAAACTCAATGTTACATCTTTACATTGAAAGAAGTGGGGGGGGGCTATAAACTCAATATTACATTGAAAGAAGTGGGGGGGGCTATAACTCAATGTTACATTGAAAGAAGTGGGGGGGGGGTGGCTATAAACTCAATGTTACATTGTATTGAAAGAAGTGGGGGAGGGGGGGGCTATAACTCAATGTTACATTGAAAGAAGTGGGGGAGGGGGGCTATAAACTCAATGTTACATTGAAAGAAGTGGGGGAGGGGGGTGGCTATAAACTCAATGTTAAATTGAAAGAAGTGGGGGGGGTGGCTATAAACTCAATATTACATTGAAAGAAGTGGGGGAGGGGGGCTGGCTATAAACTCAATGTTACATCTTTACATTGAAAGAAGTGGGGGAGGGGGGGTGGCTATAAACTCAATGTTACATTGAAAGAAGTGGGGGAGGGGGGGTGGCTATAAACTCAATGTTACATTGAAAGAAGTGGGGAGTTATAAACACAATGTTACATTGAAAGAAGTGGGGGAGGGGAGTTATAAACTCAATATTACATTGAAAGAAGTGGGGGGGGGGGGTGGCTATAAACTCAATGTTACATTGAAAGAAGTGGGGGAGGGGAGTTATAAACTCAATATTACATTGAAAAAAGTGGGGGAGGGGGGTGGCTATAAACTCAATGTTACATTGAAAGAAGTGGGGGAGTTATAAACTCAATGTTACATTGAAAGAAGTGGGGGAGGGGAGTTATAAACTCAATATTACATTGAAAGAAGTGGGGGGGTGGCTATAAACTCAATGTTACATTGAAAGAAGTGGGGGAGGGGAGTTATAAACTCAATATTACATTGAAAGAAGTGGGGGGGGGGGGGTGTCTATAAACTCAATGTTACATTGAAAGAAGTGGGGGAGGGGGTGGCTATAAACTCAATGTTACATTGAAAGAAGTGGGGGGGGGGGTGGCTATAAACTCAATATTACATTGAAAGAAGTGGGGGAGGGGGGTGGCTATAAACTCAATACTACATTGAAAGAAGTGGGGGGTGGCTATAAACTCAATATTACATTGAAAGAAGTGGGGGGGGGGCTATAACTCAATGTTACATTGCAAGAAGTGGGGGGCTATAAACTCAATGTTACATCTTTACATTGAAAGAAGTGGGGGGGGGGGCTATAAACTCAATATTACATTGAAAGAAGTGGGGGGGGTGGCTATAAACTCAATGTTACATTGAAAGAAGTGGGGGAGGGGAGTTATAAACTCAATGTTACATTGAAAGAAGTGGGGGAGGGGAGTTATAAACTCAATATTACATTGAAAGAAGTGGGGGAGGGGAGTTATAAACTCAATGTTACATTGAAAGAAGTGGGGGAGGCCAGGGGAGTTATAAACTCAATATTACATTGAAAGAAGTGGGGGGGGTGGCTATAAACTCAATGTTACATTGAAAGAAGTGGGGGGGGGAGTTATAAACTCAATATTACATTGAAAGAAGTGGGGGAGGGGGGGGTGTCTATAAACTCAATGTTACATTGAAAGAAGTGGGGGAGGGGGTGGCTATAAACTCAATGTTACATTGAAAGAAGTGGGGGGGGGTGGCTATAAACTCAATATTACATTGAAAGAAGTGGGGGAGGGGGTGGCTATAAACTCAATGTTACATTGTATTGAAAGAAGTGGGGGAGGGGGGGTGTCTATAAACTCAATACTACATTGAAAGAAGTGGGGGGGGGTGGCTATAAACTCAATATTATGCATTGAAAGAAGTGGGGGGGGGGCTATAACTCAATGTTACATCGCAAGAAGTGGGGGGGGGGGCTATAAACTCAATGTTACATCTTTACATTGAAAGAAGTGGGGGGGGGGCTATAAACTCAATATTACATTGAAAGAAGTGGGGGGGGGGGGGCTATAACTCAATGTTACATTGAAAGAACGTGGGGGGGGTGGCTATAACTCAATGTTACATTGAAAGAAGTGGGGGGGGGGGGGCTATAAACTCAATGTTACATTGTATTGAAAGAAAGTGGGGGAGGGGGGGTGTCTATAAACTCAATATTACATTGAAAGAAGTGGGGGGGGGCTATAACTCAATTGTTCCATTGCACGCTGTCGCGCGCGCGAGCGCGCGCGCGCTCTTCAACCTCAATGTTCATTGAACGAAGTTGGGGGGCTATAACTCAAATGTTACATTGCCAGACGGTGGGGGGGGGGGGCTGGTCTAATACCCTCAATGTAACATCTTTACATTGAAAGAAGGTGGCGGGGGGCTTATAAAACTCAATGTTACATTGCAAGACGTGGGGGGGGGAGATGCTAAAACTCCAATCGTTACATTGAAAGAAGTGGGCTATAATTATGGTGATATGTTCCAGCAACACAGACTGTCGTTGTTGATGCTATTATTACTTATTTTCCCTAATATTAATTTATTAAATGGAAGAAGCTAAGAGGTACTGCTACTGATAATGTAAAAGATTCAATATTTCAGAATACACCGGTGATATTAATAAAGATAGCCGGCAAAAGCACACAGTTGACACGTTACTTGGTCAGTAGCAAGAACGGCGAGGATATCTAAACACTAATACTGCTTTATTTAGAATCTGTATTTCGATCACGAAATAGTTAGGGATTTCTGTTTTTGTATAGCATTCATTTGCACAAGTTTCTATATTTTCTACCGTCAACCGTTTAATTTTTCTCTTAGGATGTTTTAGAACGTAGATAACATGCCATTATATGGTTGTTGATTGAATATCAACTTGTTTGGTTGGTTGCAATTATATGGTTGTTGATTTAATATCAACCTGTTTGATTGGTTGCGGTTATATGGTTGTTGATTTAATATATTCCATCAACCTGTTGCTCGTATGATGTTCGGGAAAAGGATAAGTTCTACCGTCAGTAAAATACAGAAAACTCCTCCTTAAATGAAGCTTCACGTTTTCAGCAGCTAGCGGCACTCGGAACTCGAGTGTAGCGCTCAGAAGTCGAGTGTAGCACTCGGAACTCGAGTGTAGCGCTCAGAAGTCGAGTTTAGCACTCGGAACTCGAGTTTAGCACTCGAAACTTGAGTTTAGCACTCGGAGTTATGCTTCCACCTACTTAGTCATGTTGACTTCATTGCACCCGGGGTGATCTAGAAGCGGTTGAGAACTGGCGTTCAGAGCCGCTGTACTACCCATGGGACATATCTTGACTTTGTCATTCACGTAGATCTGAGGATGAGGATAAAGTGAAACACAAGGACATTCACTTTTTCAAGAGGAGTGTTGTTCGAGAAGTTCGTACCTGAGGGCACGAGGTTAGACTACGGAGTATGCAGCCCGGCCCCGCCACACACCGTCCTCGACACCCCCCCTCCCATCGGGCAAGCATACCTTACCGGACACAGGCGTGGCCGAGCAGCGTTTGACCCGCATTCAATAGCATCAAAGTTTCAACACTTTATAACCTAATATAACCTGTTCTACAATCTACTACCCGCACCTATAATTTAACAATACAGATGCAAGTATCAATTGTTCTCCACTAAATTGTCAATTTTACTGCTGGACAAAATCGAATTTGAGTCATATATATCCCCCCCCCCCCCCCCCACCCACTCATATATCCCTCTATCCCCCACCCACCACCCCACGCACCCTTTCACTGTCATATTCTCTGGTTACAGTTGTTTATTTCATTTGCGTTAATCCATATGAATTATATTCTACACTATAGATTAGGACAACTTTACTTGACCAATTATAATGCAAAATAGTAAAACCTAATAAGCTAGTTGCATATCAAAGTCCAAACTCCATAAAATAAACCCCAAGCAAAAAGGACTATCCTTACACCTATGTCATCCACATACTCATACTTCAATAAAGGTTGTTTAGATCTGCTTTTAAAATATTAGAAATGGATTGGTTTGACCCTATGAAGTAGAAATAATTAGAATATAGCATCTAAAGTTGTTCACAATTTAATGCTGAATCCGTATGGAATGTAGGTAGAAGTTAGGAACTCTAAAAAACTAAAACGTATTTACTCGTGGACTAGTTGCTTAATGATTGAATGCTGGTTGTGAGGCTAGCGTTGTAGGTGGTACAGATAACATTCCATCTCATTGGAAGCGCACAGCTTTTTGTAGTTTTAGGAAAAGCACGTAAATACTCACGACCCTAATGAGCAGATAATCGATATTATCTTTGTTAAATTGTCAACAATTTGATATATCTGTACCTAGATATCTGCTCCCCTTACACTTTCGAAAGTAGGATAAATTAATTATTATATAATGCTAATCACCAGTCACTTCAGACGATCCAAGTGAATGCACAGTAGACTGTATTATCCACAGTAGATTCTATTATCTACAGTAGATTCTATTATCCACAGTAGATTATATTATCTACAGTAGATTCTTTTTACATATGTTTAATTAGGAAATGAACTGTTCCTTTCCCGCATTCCGAGATAAACCGGTATATGTTTACTAAGTCTCAATAGTTGTGTTGAAAAAAATATATTTTGTATAGTAGATAATGAGCTTTTGTCATAGCACACGAGAGCTTTGTCCCCTACACAATACCTAGTTTGTTTGCTACATTTGACAAACAAAACTAGACAATCATCACTAGCAAGAAATCAAAGAGAAGGCAATCGAAGGGAGCGCACACAACTAACACAGAACAACTATCACAAAACAAACGCACAAACTCACCTCATTTCCACTCTGATCCAGGTTGACCCTCATGCATTCTTTCTCGCAGAGCTGCGTCAAACCGCTTCGATTCACCGTCAGGAATTTGTTACTCTTCAAATGTAACAACTGCAGAAAATATCACGGTTATATTTGTACATAGGGATTTACATGGTATCATAATGGGGATCCTACATGGCCCATTAAGTCCGCAACACATCATCTACATTCAAAAGCTCAGCATGATTAGTTCTCGTCATAAGATCAATAATACCAGTCAGATAACAATGTAAGAGTCAGTGATAAGTAACTACCCTAATTGAATAATATTTCCGCGAAACAGTTAGGATATCTATTAGAATGCTATTTCCCGAATGTACCACTAGTATTAGTAGAGCGTGTAAGGTCGAGGGGTAAGGATCCGGGTGGTGGGTGGGGTTGGGTCCAGGTAACCCCAGATCTGCAGACAGTCCAACAATGATCTCAGTCGGAGACATGCAGCTAGCCAGGGCGGGTGGGATATTTAATATTTATTCGCACAGTTTATGGTCGAATGTTATGTCTGTTCACGGGATCATATCTTGAAGCCGATCACTATTCACTGTGTTTGTCTTTGCAGGGGAAAAGAGTGCCAAAACGGACTTATTGGGAATACGGGTCAAATCTGGCTCATGTCCATTGATGCTCGCATAAGCGATATATTATTGCACTCATGGTTGGGACGTTCCAAGACATGATCTTCCCGGGGGGGGGTGGGGGGAAGAGATGTAAAGAGAGAGATAACGAAAGCAGATGAGACGAGTGAGAAGAGAAGAGATAGTATCTCAAAAAGAGATAGAGAGCGAGAGAGAGAGAGAGCAGAGAGAGCAGGGTCTCAGATCGAGAGAAAGAAGAGAAGAGAGATTCATCCGTATAGATGACAGAGTAAAGAACAATGAAGAAGAGAGAGAACGTGAGGGAAGGAAAAATAAAGAGCAGTTAGAAGAGAGAAAGGATAAGAAAAACAAGAGGGAGTCTGTTAAAGAAGGTCGTAAAGGCACAACACTCGGGACTCGACGACCGGACAAACGTAAAAGGGAAGCCCCACTCTCCACTACAAAACCCAGTTAATAAAAAAAAAAAAAACAACCAAGCTGTATGAAGAAGTTGCAGATTCTGAAAAATTAACTAGGTCACCGAAACGCACAAAAAACAAAAAGACAAAAAAGAAAATTGACACATATAAGACAACAATAAGACAGAAAGCAACACTACACAAAAAAAAATGAAAGAAATATCCATACACTTTATCTAAAAAAACTGTCACATTAATAAAGTTAAAAACTCATAAAAAGTAAAGGAACATACACATACACATATTAAAGAACTAAAACAATAATACAATAAAAAACAAAAAATCCATTAATAAAAATGGAAGGGCCGAGTGGAGTACTGTGTGGGTGGGGAGTTTTTTAACATTATAATGTTGCACGACCTCCCTCCGTGTGGTCTTTTAATTTTCGCATCGCTCACCCATTTTCTTCTATATTTTTCTCTGTATCAACTCCCCTCCTTTTCTTATTCTCTTATGAACCCCCCCCCCAACCACAACACCACCCCACACACCCAATTCGCACCATCATATCCCAATTCATCAAAACAATTTAACCCTTTCTCCCCCTCCCCTCCAATTACCTTCCATCCTCCCCCCCTCCCTTACTCCACTCACCTCCCTCTCCTCTCCCCTTCCCTCCCCTCCTCCCACCCCTCCCTTCCCACCCTCCCCATACCCATCACCCCTCCCACCCATCCCACCCTCCCACCCACCCCCACCTCCCACCCCACCCTCCCTCCCCCTCCCACCCTCCTCCCACCCTCCCTCCCTCCCATCCACCACCCACCCTCCCTCCCCATCCCTCCCTCCCTCCCTCCCTCCACCCTCCCACCCACCTCCCCTCCCTCCCTCCCACCCTCCCACCCACCCACCCTCCCCTCCCTCCCACCCTCACCCTCCCACCCTCCCTTCCCTCTCCTCTCCCTCCCTAACCCTCCCCTCCCTCCCTCCCTCCCCCTCCCTCCCTACCCACCCCTCCCTCCCACCTCCCTCCCCCCACCCCTCCCTCCCTCCCTCCCACCCACCCTCCTCCTCCCTCCCTCCCTCCCTCCCTCCCCTCCCTCCCTCCCTCCCTCCCTCCCTCCCCTCCCTCCCTCCCTCCCTCCCTCCCTCCCTCCCTCCCTCCCTCCCCTCCCTCCCCTCCCTCCCTCCCTCCCTCCCACCCTCCCTCCCTCCCTCCCCTCCCTCCCCTCCCTCCCTCCCTCCCTCCCTCCCTCCCACCCTCCCTCCCCTCCCTCCCTCCCTCCCTCCCTCCTCCCTCCCTCCCTCCCTCCCTCCCTCCTCCCTCCCTCCCTCCCTCCCTCCCTCCCCTCCCTCCCTCCCTCCCTCCCTCCCTCCCTCCCTCCCTCCCTCCCCTCCTCCCTCCCTCCCTCCCTCCCTCCCTCCCTCCCTCCCTCCCTCCCTCCCTCCCTCCCTCCTCCCTCCCTCCCTCCCTCCCTCCCTCCCTCCCTCCCTCCCTCCCTCCCTCCCTCCCTCCCTCCCTCCCTCCCTCCCTCCCTCCCTCCCTCCCTCCCTCCCTCCCTCCCTCCCTCCCCTCCCTCCCTCCCTCCCTCCCTCCCTCCCTCGCTCGCTCGCTCGCTCGCTCGCTCGCTCGCTCGCTCGCTCGCTCGCTCGCTCGCTCTCTCTCTCTCTCTCTCTCTCTCTCTCTCTCTCTCTCTCTCTCTCTCTCTCTCTCTCTCTCTCTCTCTCTCTCTCTCTCTCTCTCTCTCTCTCTCTCTCTCTCTCTCTCTCTCTCTCTCTCTCTCTCTCTCTCTCTCTCTCTCTCTCTCTCTCTCTCTCTCTCTCTCTCTCTCTCTCTCTCTCTCTCTCTCTCTCTCTCTCTCTCTCTCTCTCTCTCTCTCTCTCTCTCGGTTCCTGGCAGTGGGCATGGGAGCTAGTGAGTGGTGAGAGTGCTGAGTGCTGACAACGCCTAATAATAGAGGATAATTTGTTTCGAATTTACATTAAGAAGCACTGTACACAGTACAGTACCTTCGGGAGTATACACATTTAATTGTAATGCGGCCCTGTGAGTGGTACAGGCACATTCCAAACACAATATAAACTCTCAGCTTGTTAAGCTTAGGTACAGGTACCACCCTCGCCCAGTTTACAAGTGAAATTAACATCCTTTCCGTAGATCGTGGGTGGCCTGACTATTGGGTAGAGCACATTGTTCGATACAATGTGCTGACTATTAGGTAGAGCACATTATTCGATACAATGTGCTTTTGATTGCGAAACGTTATTCTACGTTCCCAGTTTTCGCGTCTCCAAACTCCTGTGCTTTATTCATGAGGTATTCATCATAATATCAGACCCGTTATGTCGCGTCAACAAAAAGTCATGTCCCTTGTTATAAAACTCATGTCCCCAACATGCACCATGTCCCTAACATGCACCATGTCCCTAACATGCATCATGTCCCTAACATGCATCATGTCCCTAACATGCACCATGTCCCTAACATGCATCATGTCCCTAACATGCACCATGTCCCTAACATGCACCATGTCCCTAACATGCACCATGTCCCTAACATGCACCATGTCCCTAACATGCACCATGTCCCTAACATGCACCATGTCCCTAACATGCACCATGTCCCTAACATGCACCATGTCCCTAACATGCACCATGTCCCTAACATGCACCATGTCCCTAACATGCACCATGTCCCTAACATGCACCATGTCCCTAACATGCACCATGTCCCTAACATGCACCATGTCCCTAACATGCACCATGTCCCTAACATGCATCATGTCCCTAACATGCATCATGTCCCTAACATGCATCATGTCCCTAACATGCACCATGTCCCTAACAAAAAGTGCCTAACATGCATCATGTCCCTAACATGCATCATGTCCCTAACATGCACCATGTCCCTAACATGCACCATGTCCCTAACATGCACCATGTCCCTAACATGCACCATGTCCCTAACATGCATCATGTCCCTAACATGCACCATGTCCCTAACATGCACCATGTCCCTAACAAAAAGTGCCTAACTAAAGTCCCTTGTGCCCAAGTTTCATTACCTGGGAAGGTGCTCACGCTCTCTCTACCAATTACTAGGTCACATTATAAGAAGGTCTCTCAATATAATTAACTAGACGCCACCCCACCCACCCACCTCCAGTACTGATATATTATATTTGAATACTGACCCCTTACTGTATCCCCTCATTGTCCTCTAACAGTAACAGCCACTAGAGCTCTCTAATCAAGCCCCAGACCTTGTCATCAACAGACAGAGAGACAGGCATTAAATAACTCTCGGTATTACCCTACTCAGTATCTATGTCCCAGACCTTGTCATCAACAGACAGATATTAAAGAACTCTCGGTATTACCTTGCTCAGTATCTATGTTAGTACTACTACAACTAGAGGTGACTAATGGGATGTAGCGGCTACATGTTAGTTTAATTGTAAAGAATTCTCTGACAGACAGGTGGTTACAGTTGATCTGAACTGGGTTCTCAAATAAGATTTGACTGTTTCGCTGAAGAAACAGTACAGTAAAAATAGCTTAGAGCTCAGTATTTGCATAATTTCCAAAATTATTGGTGTTGAGTTGGTGTTTCTGTGCAGCACTTTTTCTGATTACTACACGACTTATAGTCACCATGTACACAACACCACCACTAGGCACTATTACAAGTAGTAGTAGTATTACATGAGCACACTCTGGATCACACCACCACTAGGCACTATTACAAGTAGTAGTAGTATTACATGAGCACACTCTGGATCACACCACCACTAGGCACTATTACAAGTAGTAGTAGTAGTATTACATGAGCACACTCTGGATCACACCACCATAGTCACTATTACAAGTAGTAGTAGTTTTACATGAGCACACTCTGGATCACACCACCACTAGTCACTATTCCAAGTAGTAGTAGTATTACATGAGCACACTCTGGATCACACTACCACTAGGCACTATTACAAGTAAGTAGTAGTATTACATGAGCACACTCTGGATCACACCACCACTAGGCACTATTACAGGTAGTAGTAGTATTACAAGAGCACACTCT